GATGCAGACGTAAAGGCAAGGATTGGCAAAGTAAGGACAGCATTCTTACAGTTAAAGAACATATGGAACTCAAAACAACTTTCAACCAATATCAAAGTGAGAATCTTCAATACAAACGTCAAAGCAGTTCTACTGTATTGAGCTGAAACTTGGAGAACTACAACAACCATCATCAAGAAGGTACAAGTATTTATAAATAGCTGTCTACGCAAGATACTCAACATCCATTGGCCGGATACCACAGCAATAGCCTTCTGTGGGAGAGAACAAACCAGCTTCCAGCTGAAGAAGAAATTAGAAAAAGACGATGGAAATGGATAGGACATACGTTACACAAATCATCAAACTGCATCACGAGGCAAGCACTAACTTGTAATCGTGAAGGGAAGCGGAAAAGTGGAAGGCCAAAGAACACATTACGTCGGATAATAGAAGCACATATGAAAATGATGCATAACAACTGGAAGGAGCTAGAAAGGATTGCCCAGGACAGGATTGGACGGAGAATGCTGGTGAGCGGCCTATGCTTCTTCACGAGAAGTAACAGGCGTAAGTAAGTAAGTAATGATTCTTCTGTACTGGACTGCCCTCTGAATACAACGTAGATCGCTAACGCAGGTGATCGGAGTCAAGTCGTTGGTGGCCTACCCGCGTTAGACAGGATATACGTTACGAACCAGCTAACTTCGAGGTAATAATTCGCGATCAGAACCCAACGTATCCCGGAAGTATGGCTGGTTTGATGACTGAGCAACGTAAACGACGTTATTACATAAATATATAAGCATGAACGTCTGGAGATAGGCCTGACAAGCCAATTTTTTAAATAGTTTTTAATATTATTTGTATTTATTTTTTCAATCTTTCACTGTCTGTATATTTTATCATTAAATGATTGTACCTGTTGTTTTAGTCAATGACCTTGAACACACTTTTCCGTTGTGCAACTACATAGCCTGACATACCGTTGGTGGCTAACAAATACACTGCTTCTCATACATTTGTGATTGAGTTAACTGGAGTCTAAATCAAATACTATCTGCATTCATAGACTGTATTTGGAATATATCACATTCTACATTGGATTATATCACTGGAGAGTTCTTCAACCCTATCAGAATCACCAAGCATTTATAATTGTGGATTTACAATATTGGACCTAATCAGAACACGCAACATTTGGTCAATTTAAGTAACGTTCCAAATTTTTATTGTATTTGTAACAATTAAATGGTATATATTAATATTACTATTGATCTTTGGTAACTTTGCTAATATTTTTCGCGTTTATATCTATCTGGTCCACCACAAGCGGGTACAATGAACGGATTGCCATCATCACCATATGGGCCAGGACATGGAGTGATTTTAATTGATGCTCGTTGGTTGTTCTTCAAATTGACGAGGATTTTAGAACTGTTCGACATCAAGTGACACAAATGTTGTATCATTTATATAGATCCTAGTGATGTTTCATTGTCTATACAACAAATTCCAAATACAATACGGCCATTTGTGCTCAAAAAGTTCTACTTGCTATATATTGCACTATTTCGGGAATTCTTGACTAGCAAAACAATTCGAGTACTTCTTATTGTCATACATTTTTAGTCATTTTTACAGTATTCCAATTTCATCACTGGTGATACTGATTGGTTTGTTGTTCTACTGGAGATAGCACTAAAACTTTTTGTAAATTTGTTTTGGAATTGCGTCCATACTGTCCATAGATAATTCACTTTTTCTGGGTGATATCTTGGATATTATGAAGAGTGCTTCTGAACTATGCACTTAATTCAGTGATTTGGGAAGTTGCTTAACCGGTCCTGTTCATTTTCTTTGTGAAAATAATGCATGGTGTTTGCAGTACATTTTCCTGGATGCAAGTTCACGACCAACAGCACATTTGATGATATTGCTTGTTTCGTTAGAAGGGCAGCAGAAGAGAACGTCCAGAAGTAATGTGGGGCTGATTTTAACTCATCTTGATTATCCTTTAAAATCTGGAGATACAACTCTGTCGGTAATTATACCAAGGATTCATGAATGAATTCTTGTTATGTAAATGATGTATTTGAACGTTCCCTATGGGTGCAAATTACCGATTTCGTCGGGTAGGTTTGTGCTTTGTCGTAACGCCTCGGATCGTGATGATAAATTTAGTTCGTATTAACTTACACGGCAGTATAGACACAACTGTCAAGCCGAATATCTCTGATCGTTGACAAGTTGAAAACCCACATTACTATATTTAGAAAAATATTTTGACAGTCATCATTCGTCGTTTTGCCTTCAGATTGTTTCTCAATACTACTAACTAAAATTAGATTCACAGCCTACATAGTCAGGGCAATTTTTCAATTGTAGATATGTCCCCAGTGGAACCAAATCAAAAATCTAGAGAAGACTTGCATGAAGAGCTATCTGAATTCACATTCTGTACCATTTCGCAAACTTTGTGTGCTTACTGCTTTTAATATAACCTCAATAACCACGATGTGATGTAATGTGGTTTATGTTTAATCAAAGTCAATGAATTCCAATAGATAGAGGTAGATTGATGTATTTTCAGCTTTACGTTTTCAGATGCTAAACTGCCATCTAGAAACCGTGGAGTATTGATTAGTATGATGTGTGGATATCGACTTGCCAGACACTCACAAAGAAGCCAAATTATTGGATCTCACAGTCAAGTCGAGCTAATCGTTGACTTTATTGTGCTCTTGAGCTGGTACCTCTATATTAGGCAGCCCAAGCTCGTGCGGCCTTTATTGCTTCGGAGTTTGACTTTACAGACGTATCCCACAATTTTCGACATTCAGTACTTCCTGTTTGTTATTCGCGTTATTGATATTTCCCTTTCAGAACTTCTGTTTATAGATTGCACATCACCAACTATACTTCTAGGTCTATTATGATTATTTTGTTTACACCTGAGGCTTTATCAGTGCTGAAGCCCAATATCTTTTCACAATCTGTCAGTTCTTTTGTCTCGTCTCTTGGTTGTTAATAATGTGTCAAAAATTTCAGCTTTGTTCGGAGGCTCAAAAGCCTCAAGCATTAGGAGAAGCGCCGTGAAGCACGATGTCTTGCATAATCACCATGATTGTAATTATTTGATGTTTGAATTATTTGAATTGTAGTATGAACTAAGAATCCCGAAAATAACATATATGAATCAAGAAGTACTAGACGCGCACGAACGAATGCATTGTATTTAGAATTAGAAATCAAGCATTCAACAAGTACAAAGAAATCATCAGTTTATTCAAGCACCACAACCGCCATGGCTTAAATTAGGGTCTACCTGTCTATAATCGATTGCACGTCTTCTTCTTAAGTTCATCCTGTGTCTGTCCGACATTGTATTGGGTAAAAACTCGGTATTATCTAGAATGTGCTCATTAGTATTGGAATTACCAACCGAAATCGGAACAGACTCACCTAGAATTGTATACAATCAGCATGTCGGTTTCGCACTGAAATCATTAATATCTAGAATTTAAACCACAGATCTTTCAACAATATCCTCCATCACGAAATAATGTTGGATCATTATACACCCAAGTTATGAATGATATGGTTTTACTTAAAACATATTCCTCACAATGGTTAAAGCAAACATTAGAAGTGACTTTGCGATTAGAATAAAGAGCAGTTGATATGAAATCATCCGAATTGTAATCAAAACAAAGCTCATTTAGTACTTGTGCTTCGGATTGAACAAGTTTCGCACAATAAACAAGTGCATTATGAGAACAAATAATATTTGATAGAACATCACGATTTGATTCTTCTGAAATAGTTTCCACGAACTGCATTGCAAATCATTAATGAATTATCTGCATAGCCTTGAGTATGCACTGAGTTGGGATGACGTGTTAATGTAGTGAAATTTTCTATATCCTCAGGAATCACTTTACAAAATCTTCCTTTATTGCGTTTGAAATTTGTATACTTAACATAGTCTATCAGCAGCTCCTTGAGGGTTGTATATGGGAGCGAGATAGGCTTTTCCGGAATAGCCAGAGCTCTTAATAAGCTATATGCCTCTTTTCCGATGAAAGTAAAGAAATGTGCCACAATATTAATATCCTCATCATCTTCCTTGGTCATAGCCCAGATTCCGAACCTTTCAAAGTAATCCTCAAAATCATCAAGATCTTAATGTGTATCCAACAATTCCATCACAGGCACCATCGCGACGCCAATTTGGTATTTCAAATTATTTGAATTGTAGTATGAACTAAGAATCCCGAAATTAACGCATATGAATCAAGAAGTACTAGACACGCACGAACGTATTGTATTTAGAATTCGAAGCCAAGTATTCAACAAGTACAAAGAAATCATCAGTTCATTCAAACACCACAAATTACCAACACAATGAATATGCAACTGAGCCAAGTCCAGTGTACATATTATGTTACCAGTTGCTGAGTTTCCTCTGCATTCCATCCTCGACCAGAAAGAGATATGTGAGTCCACTACAATGTGTTTTCGAGACATTTATTCAAATAAGTAGACACCGACAAAAATACTGCGAAAAATGAGTACTTGACGCCGGGACATATTTGCACTCACTGGCTCCCACCCTAGTAGACTGCGCATTTATTAGGAATCCCGAATATAATGCATTCAGTTGTACTCGACTAGATCTACCTGTCTGGAATGGCATTATATCGAAATCTCTTACTTAGAAAATCAGTCTAAATTCTAATTGTCATAGTTTCTCAAGGAAGTCAGAATATACACTGATCACGAAAAAGTTTCATATCGTACTGACGAAACAGTGCGACTCTGCAGCTTCAAAAGTGAGCAATTTGAAGGAAGGTGTGTAAACCACTCGGTGTTTCATGCATACTCATAAAAGAACTTCAGGTGGAAATTTATGTGGAAATAGATGACATTACTTTTATGGAACTTTAACTGAAAATGTTGGATGAGATAGTTTTACATAATCGGGACGATCAAAACTATATAGTTTACACATGGAGGATAACTGGGTCTAACATTTCAACCCTAACACCAACAATGAAAGTGAATGTTGTGCGGACGACTTATATCCTTAATCTTGGAAAAAAGTACCTTCTTTATTTCACTCTTTTGGCCAAAAAATAATGTACCATGAAGCAGCCTCGTTTCTGAACACAATACTTTTAATTCATTTACTACCTACAGTTGTTTCTGAATAATTCAAGGTCTTGTGTGTGATCAATATTCATGACATTATTTAGTGAAAGACGTAGGTTTCCGTTTAGGTTATCGGTGAGTAAATTCTGATGCTCACTTTTCAATAAAACAATCGCCAGCTTCATTCTGATTGATCGCTCCTAGTCATTTAAAGGTCATCAGTGTAGTTTTGGCAGTAACACCCATCTATGAAGTCGTTGACTAGTGTAATTAAATGTGCTGGTAGGTCCAAACTACCTGGTTTGGATTTGCAAGGTTATCATAAACAATGCTTAGAGACATATGCAGGTGTACTCAATGAGCTCTTTATTCCTACAAACTATTTTCAGCGCACACAAACTAGACTCGATGCATTTCAGTTAGAAAACGAATGTTAAGATTCAGATTGCTAATTATCTGATATCCTATGTTAACAAACCTACTTACATAAGTCACAGAGAAAAATTTTGAAATACAAAATCTCAGCTGGTTAATATTGACAACAAATTACAATAAACGAGTGACATAAAAACTATGTGAATATAAATCATATTGTCAGTTGTACTATTTACAGCATTTACTTGTTGATACACCGACATTAAATAACTAGACTGTAGGTAGTTTTGAAGAACTTTAATTCATTTTCAGAATAAATAAAGTAGAATAAAGAACTTATATATTCCTAAGTAAATATACAAAAAAGTTATTTCATAAATCAGAAAGGATACTTTCACAATTGAAATTAGGAAAGAAGAATTTAATTTCTTTGAACGCATTTTCTTGTGAATCTGTCAATATAAAGAAGAAAAACAATAAATTAAGTTAATTCATCACAATAGATGTAAATGAACTAAATGACATCTAAAGGAATATGATCAATTCTGATCTTTATGATCAAACGTTGTCAGTAAATCTAGCTGTATAACATTAATTAAGGAGACATTCAGTTTCAACAACAAGTCTCACGTTTTCGTCTAAATATAGCCTTCATCCAACGGAAAATTGACGAACACAACGTATTATCTTGTAATGACTCACTATTATCACGAGAACACGATTGGTTTATTGAAAACAATTATTATTATAACCAGTTGTACCAGTGACTGTTTTAATGTGCTTTTGTTTAACTGTGCTAAAGGCATCCATTATTCTTACACTTCGATTGTGACCTCGCGCAAATTCGGTTACGTTCTGTAGCCAAGATTGTATCCTGGCACGATCTCTGTATCCTTTCGATACCACGAGATCGCCAGCAAATATATCTCGACTTGGTCCATTAACTGCCTGCTGATATTTGGCTTCCGGAGGATCTTATGGAGTCATTTGGCACGCGTTTCTTGGTAGCGGTGTTTATAGTCAATTGGGACTCGACGCCACGCTACAAGCTTATAAAGCTTGTCATGCAGTATCCATTAAACCTATTGTCATTCCATTTACGGTAAAATCATTATTCGATTCATCCGTTTCTCATTCGTGTTAGGTATGCTGAGGAATAATGTGCCAATCATTATCATGTTAAGTCTAATGATGTCCTTGGACGTTGAATGAACATTTCCTATTGTCCGTTATTTATTTCACTCGTTAAATATTGTACAGATGTTGTTCTCTATTTTATGGTACGATGTAGTCTGCTTGGTTAGTATATAGAGTACGTCTGAAATACAATGATTCATAACTCAGAGACTGTGACTTGCGTTCTTGACTCAACTGGCTGGGATAGACAGGGCCAATCGGGACTCTAGGTCGTCCTTACGTGTCGCACTGTGATCGATGGATAAAACCTGCAGTTCACACGTTACAACAATTTGATCACCCCACTGATCTCTCATATTTTTAAATGATCTGAAACTTTTCAAATCTGTTATCATTATCATGCAATCCATTTTAGTAATCTCTAGACTTTATATACAGTCACTATCTCACTCTCTTATGTTTTCGAATTTCATATATGACTTTACACATGTTTAGGCTGTAGTGACCTACTTTTATCAAAAGAACGCGATTGATGTTATGGAAACAATTATTATTATAACCATTTGTACCAGTAATTGTTTTACTATACTTGTTTGTTTAACTGTACCATAACACATACATCCTTCCACTGATTGTGACCTTGCACGAATTCCGCTACGCTCAGTAACCACACTTGTACTCATTTGGCACGATCTCGGTATTCTTTCGATACCACGAAATCGCCAACAAACCCATCTCGACTACAGCCATCAACTGTTTTCTGATATTTGGCCTACAGGGGATCTTACTGGTTAACTGGTGCTTCGTCTTCCTGTAGTGGTGATCATAGTCAACCGCCACTCAATGCCATACTACAAGGCTCTATTCACACTTCTACACATTAGTTGATGTAAATTTACAAGTCCACTAACTCTATTAATCCACTTAGATAGTACCTTTACGTCAGACTACAAATTTTATTTATACGTTAGTTGATATGCATTAAATTTATGAACAACGCTTATCTTCCACATTGTGTTTTACCAGATATAAGTGAAGGAGTACAGTAGTAGATTCAAGGTAATCAAATCAAAACTTGATATAAGATTTATAACATTTCATGAGGCATAGATTTTGTTACATAAATAAACAAGAGTAAAGTTAGTTTGAAGCGCTTGTGAAACTACAATTACTTTTCCAATCTTTACGTTTCTCGAAAATTTTCTTCTATGAATAAAATACAATAAAACCGAAACATGTGTTTTTCTTAGGGGGCCACACACGGAGCCTTCGACTTGAAGGAATGATCCACAAGGCAGTGGATCATCGTAACGAGATGCAGTCTCATGATAGCCAGTAACCAACAATTGATTCACACGCCATTTGTTTCTTCGGGGTACTGGGGTCCATGTGCATCATTTGTTTGGAATCAGGGTTTTCTAAATCCCCTAGATGGATCCTCCATATCCACTAACCCCGTTAAAGCGCCAGACATTATGTTTTCGTCCGCTCAAATCAACAAACAGCACCAGTGCCAAAAGAAGGTAGTGAGTGGGAATTCAATGTCAGTGGCCGTTTACTCGTGGCCATGGTAGAGAATTTATAGAGGGAGAGCTGAATTTCCCCACTCTGAGCCGTACCAGAGCATTTGGGTACCTTATTCTGGTTTTTCAACAAAGCATTCAATATCATAATATGAATTAATATTGAAATAAATTAAAGGCAATTGTTTTAATGTTTATTAACAGTCTTACTGACTCAATAATTCTATAATAATCCTAAGAAAACATTGATATGTTACGAGATAAATATGAAGATAATTCAAGCCGAAAAAATCCCAATACGGGATCATAATAATAATAATATTGAATAAAGCGTCTCTAGTTCAAAGTCATGAGACTTATAAATGTTGCAGAAAAAATGACTCCATCTCTCTCGGAATCCATTTTTCGAGTAAATATTTTTAGTCGATTAAAGAAGAGATCAGTGTAAGTGATGTCTGTTAGTGAAAGTAAAATATGCTTGGCCGTTGAGTCTGGACAAACTGTCATAGCCCAAGAACTATTAACTATGTAGTTTTCCATCTTATTATTGATTTCCACTTTGGACTCATTGTGTGTGAGATTGCTTGTGGTTGTATTGAATAAAGTATTCTCTAATGCTAATCTGATTCGCTATTTTAAGTCTCGAATTCTGGGTCCTAATATAACGTGATTAGTCTTATAAAAGTATTAACACATCATCGTAATATACGTCTGAGAGAGAGGATAGATATTGTAAGCGATATGTTATAACAGTAGTAAATTGTTAGACGACGTACAGTTCCAGTAAAAAAAACAACAAAGAACAGCATTTTGTATATTATGTAGCCATCTGGGAAAATCCCTAACAATATCTGAACCCATTTGAAATATAACAGTCATTTGTAAAAGTTGAAGTTATATTTCTGAAATATGGTATAAAATTTTCTTGGTTGGGCCATTAATCAGTCATGCGTTTTCACAAAGAATAAGCGTCTAGATCCAGTCAATTAAAATCATGACAAGTGAAACCGATCAATAATTACAACAAGTACTTCAATGTCCATAGGTTTAATGGTATATGTCAACAATTTGAAGGATAAGGGTAGAGAATTGAAACGACAAAATTGTATAAATACCCAAGAAACACTGCATTTTGGAAAAGCTAAATCGAAGGTAATGACAACACTCCAAACAAACGTAATAATTCGTTTAGTACTAACGACTCATCAGACATGCGTGTGTTAGGGTAAATATATCGTACCAACAAGAGATTAGTCATGACCCAGGTAATCCAGTCATAATATTCTTAACCATAACATTGGATAACGCAATACCTAAATGACACTAGGAGCACCATTTACTACGAGATTGCAAATTTGTACTAGGGACAAGTGGCAGCTACTTCAAAATATAAGTTTACTGTTAGCAACTGGCTTCCTCCATCTGAACAATTATCGGACAGTAGCAAAGTGGATATATGAAGAGAAAATCACTGAGTTCGAGTCTTGGAGTGAAAATCAACTCTGGGATACAATTACATTCGACTGACGGGTCCCAAATAAAACAAAGTGGCGCGCGTCTTCGATTCCACTGGTAGCCACCATCTATCTCTGCATATAATGATCAGTATGTTGCCGGAAATCCTGTTAACGAAATCGTCTTGAGAAGAATTAACTACTTAACTAGAATACAAATATTTCGAGCTACCTATGTTCAACATGACTCAATCTCTTGTATTTCTCGACAGTCACTGAATATAAATGACAGCATCATAACTAGTTATTACTTTAAGCCTTTACACCGTAATTTTGTGGTCGAGAAAAGGTTGAAAGTTGAAGGCATAGAATCACCGATCCTGGTTAGTCGAGAGAAAGAATGTAGAATAGAACTAATACAAACAACAGTGAAAATAAAAATACGAAGTTTTGATAAGTATAAGCTTGAAAGAAAACTTTAAATCAAGTTTATGTTTAAATAATATCATAATTTATATCAACTTCTTACCTGATCCATGAAAACCATTTCTGGTATCTGTCAATCCAAAACGACCACGTAAACTATTTGGTTCAAATACAACTGTCCTAAACATTGATGAAATAAGAATTAAAAACATGTAAAATGGACTCCAGCTGGAGTCATAAAAAGATATGTTTGTCATTACTTTGAAATAACGACAAAAATCGGGAAAAAGAACTGTTGAAATATTGATGACCCTTGGTGGTCCTACTGAAAAACTTGGTCTTAAATCTAGTCAGTTTATCGAGTGAGGTAGAAACCAAATTTGTTGGACCAAGAGCGGTACACGTTGGTTGACATCTACTAACAATACAAAAAATAGTAAATATGCTATGAACCAAACAATATTAAGATGCTTTACATATGCTTAGAAAAGATTACACTCTGATCATGAGCAACCCGAGCAAAGGAGGAAGGCTAGTTTTAATGAATAAAGCTGATAACATCGAAAAAATGTAATCAATTTTGAATGATCCGACTAAATTTAAATGACTCAACGACGTTAAGGATATAAATATGGAAGCAGAGAAACTACTGACTAATTCGCTTAAGGAATTAGGAAAATAAAGAAATACTTACTCCAACCATTCACGATTCACTTAAACCCATTATATCAAACACACAGCAACTCTACGATTTACACGAAGTCCACAATACGGGACTTTCTGTTCGTCCAGTTTTGGATATATATAATTTGCAATAACATAAAACCACAAAGTGGTCAGTTTGAATCCTAGGTCCATTAAACAAACTAGTCGTCAACAGAAGCGTTAAAAACGTTCTCTATTTCATTTCCAAGGTGAGACACTCGAACTTAGTGGAAAACGGATGATATCTCTAGATGTTGCTTCCATGTTCATCAATGTACCATTAACTGAGACGATTAACTTTGTGTGTCAACAACATTTTGAAAAAAACCCAGATAAATATTGGAATTCCCGAGGTTAGTCTTGAAAAATTACTTCTGAAATGTACAACGAACGTCCATTTTGTCTTTAATAATACATATTATAGACAAATTGTTAGAATAGTGATGGATTCACTTTTAGGTCTTATCCTTGCTGATTTTCCTCTTGCGAATTTTATTATTTATTTATTTATTTCCTCTTGCGAAACTAGAAACTAGACCTCTCAAGGAAGTTATAGACAAGTTTGACTTCTATTGTCATTACATTGACGATACTTTCATTTTCGTCAACCAGAACATTGGGAAAGAAGAACTCTCAAAGCTCTTTAACAATAAACATTCAGCAATCAAATTTACGTGTGAAGAGGAACTTGATAATCAACTACATTTCCTTGACGTGTTGTCAAACAGAAAAGAAAAAGGTTCTATCAGTAGAAGTGTTTATAGGAAAAGTTCTTCATTTCTTTGGCTTTGTACTCATCCAGTGTAAGAGAACCCTAATTAAATGTCTCGCAAATAGAACTAGGAAGACATGCTTACTTGATACTATAAACAAGGAACTAGATCTTATTCATATGTTGAATGAAATAGATTATTCACAAGGTTTCCTGGAGAAACGCTTGCATATAACAAACAAGAAAGTAAAGACGTAAACGGCTAGTGAGAAACATCTCTTCCTCAAGCTGCAATTCAACAGAGATATAGTAGGTAATGTACTAAGGGATAGACTGACTTGAGCAGTCAAGAGGACGTTTAATGCAGCTAACTTCTATCTATAGTGCTTGACCCGATCTATAGGGTTTCCTCAACGAAAGGACAAGTAATATGGTCCTGCCACATATATAAACATCTACAAATTCAGCTTCTCCTATGGAGAAAGCAATATTGGAAGTACTACCAGACAACTGAGCCAACGAATTAGTTAGTAGCTGTCTTCTTGGCTAGGAAAGGGTACCATCGAAGCAATACGCAGCTCTGTTCTATCAAATTTGATCGATAGCGGTCATTTAATAGGCAAAAATAGGTCATTCAAAGTTATTTATCGTATTGCTACTAGTTTTCATTATGAGGTTCAATCTCATCGCTTAAACATAGCAGAAGCTAAAGAAATTTAAGCTAATAATCCAAGTCTTTGTATGCATAAGAAACTTTATAACATTTTTATCACTTCCTTGACTGAATTAGCCTTTATAGTTAATATTATTTATTGTTATTTTCTATACTGTTTGTTCGTTTAATTTTCTTCATCCCCTCCTATCCTTTCCCCCCAAAAAATAGATGCATCATTGTCTAATTAACTGAACACTTTTTATTACATAATTTCATAGTTTTTATGTATGTTATTTCAATATCTACATTTTTCAAGTCATTGGTTTATTAAATTAACTTGGTGTTGTTTTACTTGTATCTTCCGATTGTTATATAGAACTGCAATTGATCAGTCTCTTATTGGCATATGTGCATCGTGTGCGGATTGCCCCGATATATGCCAACATGAGACTGATCAATTACATTCCTAAATAACAATGGGAAGATACAAGTAGAACAACACCTAGTGAATTTAAACTGTACCACATTGCACAAGCAGGTGGATATCAGGACCCAGTAACTAAGTGGATAACGCGATAGCGTCTGAAGTGAAAGGTACCGGGTTTGAGTCCTGGAGTGAACATCATCTCTGGGATGCAGGTACATCCAGCTGAAGAGTCCCAAATAGAACGAAACGCATGTCCTGGATTCCACTGCTAGCCACTACCCAGCATTGGTTTATTTCCTATTATGAAACATGGATTCAAGTTTTTGTCATTCTTATCAAAACTAGCGCACTCGATATCCTACTATTAATTTGTACTTTCTACTTATCATGTTTATTTATGTAATCTAATCCACTATTATTAACTCCACCTGTAGCTCTTCTAGGGTTACCGCCGATCCCAAGACCGGGTAAAGGAGGGTTGGGCATGGGGCTAGCAACTCCATCCCGTAGAAAACTAACTCGCTAAAAAACGCTAACCAAAGTTCCACTATTATTATAATTGAATCATACACTGCCTTGATTGGTTTAATAAGTTCGTACATGCATTGCTTGAAATAATCACTAAGAAAATGACACGAATAATTTACATATTTTATGAAGAAATTAAGGAGTTAATGGTCTTTTTAATTTCAGGATCGTGGATACGCACTGCTGAAGAGTCTTACAATAGGACGAAACGGCCGTCCAGTGCTTCGAGTTTTTCCATAGTGGTTTAGCTTTAGTGGACTCATAATCTCAATGATAGAAATTATTAAAATATCCACAAAAACTTTTTTGATATTAGATATTAACTGATTTCCGTTAGAAGAAGGTGAACATATGTTTTGAATTAAAATGACGGGATGTCTACGCTAAGCGATTACGTAATAGTAGTAATGAATTTTGTGTTCCTCTAGACCTTAGTGCTAAATGAACTTGATAGATGTAATTGAAATATATCTTCCAAGCCTGTTTGATATTTAGTAATGGAAGGTATTCAGAAAAGAACTAGTATGCTAATGAAAACACTGGCTTGTAGATGAGTTACTAAATACCACAGAATCTGAAACTGAAACTTACTACCAATCGGTTTGAACAAGAGACAACATATTAGTGGGTTGATTAATTTTGAAATATGATCATTAATTCACACCCTTATCATTAAATATATTCATTGAAAAATTATCAACGATGGTTAATAGATCTGTAGATTAAACATTTTATGCAAGTGTCTTGTCATGACAGAATCTCCATATTCATACTCGTTTATTATAGCTCACATTATGGATTGATCTTAGACAACCATTGAAAACCAGTGAACACTGGATTACGGTCTCGAACCAAGATCTTAATATTTAACCTGTTGAAGTGTCGTACAATAGTTTAGATTTTCAACTTGAATTTTTGATAGAATGCAATCATTTTCCAATGCTAATGGTAAATAACTGGCTCGTATCCGACAGATTTCAAATTCCATAGTCACGGCTTCTAATTAGACTTCCGAGACTAATGTCTTAGAATTAGTCACCGATGAGCACATGATTATTTTTATTAACGTAAGGGTTTGTAGATATTGTGGATTAATGGAATGGTAGCTAGGTGATTAAATCTTTCTACTCTCAATCATCACGTCGAACACTATGAAATTCCCTCACCTACATCAGTTGAACCAGCCTTAACATTCAAAAAGGGATAGCTGAAAACCAATCAAGTGGAAGTTATTAGTGAGAAAAAAAAACATCTACTATTTAATGTAATGAGCTAAGAAGTGCAACCGTAAAATCTTTATACGGATATATGTCAATAATCAATCATTCCATTTAAGGAAAGTATCAAACATATTTAACATATTTACCGATAAACTTTAGTGGGACCGAGCAATGAACGCCAAACAGATATTGCATCATTACCAGCAAGAATATACACTCCAAGTGGTCCGCTATAATATAAGAACAACATAAATGTAAATGTAGTCAGTCAAACAGTTGGTTACCAGTTTTAAAAAGCTTCATAACAACCAATTTACCCGGTAACTACCAGACTAAATGAGAAAAAACAATTCAGTAGTGATGTCAGTTTGTAGACGAATAGTTATGAATAATGGAAAGTTATGCTTGGTGAAAGCCCTGATATAATATGTAGTATTCAGAATGCGTAGAGCGACAATACAAACATGTTAGGAATGTATTTCTCTTTTCCCCTCTCTCTTTCTAAGTGTAAAATGTTGCCCCCGCCAATCCTGAACAAATGATGAGCATATCGCGCAACAGTCAGCTCATTATTACTTTATGGCTGTCAAACGTGATCCATGAGGGTATAAGGCATATATATTGGTTAGAAGGTTTTGAAGACAGGTATCCACAATGCATCCCCAGAATATCGTGGCACTAAATAGTGTTTCGTTCAAGTTAGACAAAAATGAGAAATCAACTGATATATTTATGAGGTGTATTACCTAACCATAAACAGGAATAGACAGGAAAAAAACTACAGATAACCAAATCAAAACATGGTGGCGTCAGTCCATAAATTTATTGACTCCTAGACAGAACCATATTGTAAGATTCATGCTTTCTCATAGGCAAGCGAAAACAACTGTTGGAGATATCTGGTAACATAGATTGGAAATGGTCACACTAGTGAAGATGTATCCTTTTATTTCCCTTTACGTATTAAGCTTGATTAGTATTTCGTAATTTGTTTTTCAATCGAATCTATCAGATCATTTCAAATCATACATCACCATCTTTAATCTTTCTAACTATGATTGATTATGCCATTATTTCAACTCACTTGTTGCTCATTTTGTCATCCTAATATGGTAATGGCAACAGGAGCTAATACATATTTGTCTCAAACTATCAATTGATCATGATTAATCGGATGTCCCACAAATACACTGATACGGCCGAGGGTGGAGAGAGAGTCCGTTCTCCCTCATCATATACTCTCAAATGGCCAGGCGTATACAGCAACTTTCAGGGAAGTCCTACTCACTGCCTTTTCGTGGCGATGATGTTTTTTTACCAAATTGAGAGGACGAAAAGCGAATTCCGGCGCATTAACATAGTTAGTGGATATTGAAGATTCACCTAGGAAAGTTGTAAAACCCTGATTCCAAACCAATGGTGAACATGGGCTCCAGGATTCTGAAGGAACAAATGGCGTATAAACCAATCGTTGATCACTGGCTACCATGGGACTGTATCTTCTGACGTTGCCCAACTACCTTGTGGATTAGACCTTTAGGTCAAAGATTGGGCATTAACATCATTGGATGTCAACTTAGTGGTCTACAGGTTAAGCTTTCACGCGCAAGACCGACAGGTCGAAGGTTCGAATCCTACGAATAGGATCGTGGATGAGCACTGCTGAAGAGCCCCGTACAAAGACGAAACGGTAGTCCAGTACTTTCAGGTTTTCCATAGTGATCTAGCTATAATTGACTCATGAATTTAACTATTAAATAAATAATAATAAAATTGAACTTACCAAATCATATGATTAACAAGTCGATCATAGAAAAATTTACCTAAAGTAAAAATTTATTATTATTATTTTTTAAAAAGAAGTAAACTGGTTACTTTTGTTGGCAAATATTGAGTTTCAGTAGAAAGAAATTTAAATAATACAGACCAAAAAGAGAACAATATAAGTTTAATGATATTTAAGTCCATAGTAAATCTTAAGATTAGGGAGGAAGAATGTTTGAGAACGATCCACAAGTGAACTTGAGGAAGCTCTGAAAGAGCCGAAGATATTCCATCATATAGAAGAATATTCTAGAATCTCCACGTATAGTTTCCCTATTGGACAAATGCTAAAAGCCACTGGATGCGGATTGAATGATTATAATAATGATGATTTCATTTTTACTAAAAACTATAAATACCTAAGAGTTTTGTACCATATTTGAAACTGTTTTTGGAATCACATTCCTCGTCAGTCGTCTTCTGTCATCTTATTTGAGACTTAGAGGGTTCTAGCGTTCGAGTGTTCAAGCTATATGCGGTATATCAAGAACCTAAACTTTAAATATAACTGAATACATTTGTAAAATCTCAGGAAATGAATTTGAAGTGAATTCAACGTTTCGTTTGTCAATCTGGTCCAAGGAAATAAGATCCAACATCGAACCTCAGATGTTCAATGTTTGATCATATTTCCTCGAAAAATCTTGAACCAGATTGCTAAGTGAAATGTTAGGTTCACCTGTAAGTTCATTCGCTGAGATTTTACAAATACATTCTTCCTCCTTAATGTCTCACATCAAATTGGCGTTCAAATACTGTGAAATCACTCAATCGAATTAAGACGAAAGTTCTAATAAATCTTATGATTACTTTTTATCGCTGAGAATCGTCAATTACTTGATATTATGGGTAGACATCAATTGACCATTGTATAACACTTATCCACCGAAGACAATGAAAGATGCTTGCACAATGTGAGGACTAACGATACTACTAATGAGTAGAGCAAAACACAATTAGATGGGAGAGAGATTTGAACCTATGACTGCGATATTTAAAATGCTTTTGTCAGTAAACCATCGTTCTATCCACATAGTTAATTGATTCTAGTGGAAATGATGTTGAAATCATTAAAGTAAATGAAAATATATTATTATCGGTAATGATAATAAATGCTCCTACTTACCTTTGTGTTCAGCGTAAAATACTTGAGCACGATCGCGCGTCATAAAAACCTCTTCATTATGAATAATTTGTAATTGTGCATCGGACATCACAGATTCAACATACTAACGTTTGATAAAATTACATGAAATTTTTAAAACTATGGATTTAATTAGTTTTAAGAAATGATTAATGGAGAAATAATTGACTTGACAATGATACTTATCAGTAAGCTGATGTGCATAAGATCCTACTCTTCGTCACGCGATACCGCCCCTAAATGCCCCGGTACGGCAAGGAGTAGGGAGTCCGCTCTCCTCGAAATAATCACACATGGCCACGCGTATATAGCCTCCGCCACGGAAGTCCTACTAACTAACTTCTCGAAGCATTACCGTTGTTTACGAAACTGAGAGGATGAAAAGCGAATGTCCGGTGCTTTAACCGGTTAGGTGGATATGGAAGATCCATCGAAGGGAGTTGGAAAACCACGATTCCAAACCAATGGTGTACATGAGCTTCAGAATCATTGGGAAAGAAATGGTGTATAAACCAATTTTCGGTCACCGTCTACCATGGGACTGCATCTCCTTACGTTGCTCCATTGCCTTGTGGATCAGACCTATAGGTGAAACACTCGAGGAGTGACCCCTAAGAAAACCACCTGATTCTGCCTGGGCTCCCGGGTAGTATATCAGCCCTCACACAAATCAAATGTGGCGCTTATCTATTTAGTGCCTGTTTGTACCAATGTTTATACGTTTAGATAATGATAAACATGCAATACCACTTCGAGTCAAAAATTTGATCAGACAAAATTTCAATAAAACCAGAAGCAAAAAAGCTGTACAATCTTCCCTAATAATTTAACTTTACTGAATATGTTCAAAGCTACAAACCACTTTCATTTGGTATTAGTCTATTAACTGATTTGTAAAATTAGATCGATCAACAAAGTCATATGAAAATACAATGTATTATAAGGTTGTAGTTGTTCTCTTACAAATTGTAATTCAGGACGTTAAACAGAAACTTCATACATCCTACCTATCAATTTTAGGTCCTTCAAAGTTTATTGATTATTTTATTTAATAAAATAATTACCAATATTTCCAAACTATTACTGAAGAATATATAAAGTTATATATAATTAAGAGGTATTTTGCAAATATATCAAGGTTTCATGTTATTAAACAATCAGATAGATTCTCTACTTCAAACTTCGATTTATATTGTTACATCGACTGAACTGGACAGTTCATTCTGCTGTTGAACCAATCAAACTAATCCATTTAATGATTTGAACACAAAAATATATATGCACCTCACAAGTGATCTGATTTTTGTGTGAGCTATGATACTGTCCGGGTGCCCAAACCGAAGCAGCTAGTTTTCTTAGGGGACCACATCCGGAGCCTTCAACCTAAAGGTCTGATCCACAATGCAGTGGGGCAACGTCAGAAGATACAGTTCCATGGTGGCCGGTGACTAACGATTGGTTTATAGGATCCTGGAGCCCATATGTACAATTGGTTTGGAATTGTGGTTTTTCACTTTCCGTAGGTGGATTCTCCATGTCCATTTAATTATACACCCACCACTATTGTAATGTTAGGGTGTCTAAAGTGTGCATAAATAGATGCATTAATTCTAGGTAGTTATTTCTCATAATCAAACGACAAATATTGTTCCCCTATTTCCCTACATCTCAGCAAAGGACGAATTACTAAGGATGAACTGTTTTTCAACTTCTACAGTTGGATCCGATTCTATCTCTAGCAACGTAACGATGATGTAATCATTAGATTATCTTAGATTTTTATGACAGAATATAAAATTTTAATGGTTGAATTCATGAGTCGATGTAAGCTAGACCACCATAGAGAACCTGGAATTATTGGATTGCCGTTTCGTTCTAGTATGGCACTCCCCAACAGTGAGCGTCCGCGATCTTGCACGTAAGACTACTAAAATTACTACAATCGCCACAAAAACCCCATTTCTGGTCAGAATAGAGAATTCTTATATGATCAACATATGAGTAACACAAATCCAGTCAAATATGTGTAAATTCATATGAAAAACAATTACAATTTCTGTAAATAAAGATATAAGTGTTGTTTAAATGATGGATTAACACTCAGTATGAAATAAAACAATTCCGTCTGTAACACTTCTAGGGTTATTGCCGGTCTCAAGTCCGTATAATTTAAGAGGGTTGAGGGTATGGGATCGGAAACCCCATCTCCTTTAAAAATAAACTTGCTCAAAGAAAAAATCTATAAATTAACTTACTTTACGATAATTTATAAAACGTTGAACATCTGGTTTCAATATTGCCAATGTTAATTGTTTCATTGACATATTGAACACTATGATCTAAAGATTTTTACAAAAAAAAATAACCCGCAAAGTATAATTATTACCATCATTATTCTAATTGAAGAATAGTATTGAAATGGATCTGAGATACTAATTGATACATTGAAATGGGATATGATTAGCTTGAAAGAACTCAGTAAAATCATATTGTGGAGATAATATGACGAGAAAAAAGTGCAAATGATTATTATCAGAAGGGGTTTTTATAGAGATTATAGTAATTTTAATAGGTGAGATCATGAGTCGATTGAAACTAGACCATCATGGAAAACCTCGAAGCATTGAGACTCCTCAGTAATGCGCATCAACGACTCTGACTCGCGAGATTCGAACCCAGGACCTATTAGTCTCGCATGTAAGCATTTAACTACTAGACCACTGAGCCAGCACCCAATAGTATTATTGTCTAACTTCAACTAATCCACGAAATTAAGTGACACATCTATCATTGTCATCGGTGAGTTACTATCTCACAACAAACCCAGTTGAACTCCACTGGTCACTGCTTCTCACTTGAACTCCAAGATATATCTATTGAAGCCAGTCACTAGTGAGCATATGTTGATTAATATCAAAAGGGATTTTTGTGGATATTCTAGTAATCTTAATAGTTGAGATCATGAGTCAATTATTATTAGCTTTATTCAATATTTTATTTTTAGTACAATATGGAATTCTCAGCATAAAGTGTTTCAACAAGTTTCATTTCCTTATTTCTTGATCTATCCTTGCAATAAACATTGAGTAGTCGCCAGTTAGATGTTAACAGTTAAGGAATTGACATCTGATTAATTTATATTCTTTTCAATACATTGCCAATAACCACAATGTCTGTGATTGGGCTCTTTCGTAACTTCCATAGTGAAAGGTTGTGAACTTTCCATTAATGCATTTGAATAGGTTATGCAATTAATTGATATAATGATATTTTGAAACAAACAAGGAAACAGATTATTTTCACAGATTTAAATCATGAGTCAGTTGAATCTAGACCACCATTGAAAACCTAGAAGCACTGGACGGCCGTTTCGTTCTAGTATGGGACTCCTCAGCAGTGCGCATCCACGATCCCGCACCACGCGGGGCTCGAACCCAGGACCTACTGGCTTCGCGCGCGAGCACTTGACCATTAGACCACTGAGCCGGCATCCAACGGTGTTAATGTCTAACTTCAACCAATCCACGAAGTTGCGCCACTATATACCATTGTCTTCAGTGAGCTGATATCTCACAACAGACCTGGTTGTACTCCACTGGTGACGGCGTGGATGCGCAATGCTGAGGAGTCCCATACTAGGACGAAACGGCCGTCCAGTGCTTCCAGGTTTTCAATGGTGGACTAGCTTCAACTGACTCATGATTTCAATCTGTGAAAATTTCTAAAATCTCCACAAACCCCTTCTGATAAAACAGATTATTTGTTGAAATATCTAGATAGCAGGAACAAGTAGATCAGATATTTAAACAGATTAGCTAGTTGGTTGACAAAATATTTTTTGTCAATCGATCACTCTGTATATTCAAAAGATTCCAAAAGTTGATCAATTAACAAAAAATAACCTGAAATCCAAACAGATTTCTATACTGATATTGTTGACTAGAAAGACGATAAAAGCCAAGGTTAAACAAACTAGCTCCATCAAAATCTTCCTCATGAGGTATAAATCTTACACTTACACTATGCGTTAATACGTATTCACATCAACTTCACAATCATATTCAACCCATTCGTAAGAAGAAGTTGATAAAAACTTTTATTATCAGATAAGTTTGATTAAATCGTTATTCCTATTCTTTTCAAATGAATAAACAAAACGATTTGGGTACAAACAACCAAAAAATCACTAAGCAGATGTTTATTTCTAGAAAATAACTCTCCAACAATTTCAACGACTTGCTTTAAAATGAATCCATATAGTTCCAATTAGGAGTACATTGCAGAAAGTAGACCGTTACCAACTGATGGGATAAAGTGATTATCGAGTCACATTATAAATTGACTAAAGTTCTAGATTAGTCTGAAAGTAATGTGCCTGCTGCAACATCTAAAGATTACCTTTTTGATTCTTGATGATGTCATAGATATATTCTGCAGAAACGATCACTTCAAATATATTAAGACGAAACAACTGTCCACTGATTTCTGAACACTGTCAATACTTCTTCAACTGTTATCAGCAAATGATACAAACAATCAACATAAGTAGAAATATCAGAAGGGGTTTGTGGAGATTTTTAGAAATTTTCACAGATTGAAATCATGAGTCAGTTGAAGCTAGTCCACCATTGAAAACCTGGAAGCACTGGACGGCCGTTTCGTCCACAAACCCCTTCTGATAATAATCATCTGCTCACTAGTGACTGACTTCAAGAGGTACTCCTGGAGTTCTAGTGGGAAGCCGTTACCAGTAAAGTTCAACCAGGTCTGTTGTGAGATATCAGCTCACTGAAGACAATGGTATATGGTGGCGCAACTTCGTGGATTGGTTGAAGTTAGACATTAACAACGCTGGATGCCGGCTCAGTGGTCTAATGGTTAAGTGCTCGAGCGCGAAGCCAGTAGGTCCTGGGTTCGAGCCCCGCGTGGTGCGGGATCGTGGATGCGCACTGCTGAGGAGTCCCATACTAGAACGAAACGGCCGTCCAGTGCTTCTAGGTTTTCAATGGTGGTCTAAATTCAACTGACTCATGATTTCAATCTGTGATAAGTAGAAATGATTCGAAATTATTATTGATCAACAAACACAAAAGAACTCATTTACCTTTCACTCTCAATGACTTACATTTCAAGAACGAATACGAAAGAAAAAAACAAACAAACAAATAATCATATTAAATGATTTATTAAAGATAACTTATTACACTTTGTCATTCAATTAAACAATCACCACATGTACATGTAAACATACAGGAATGATTTATGATTATTTCAAAAATAATAACAATTTGAAGTTAGTATACACTATACATAAATGAACACAGTAGGTAATAATGTAATTAATTAATCAATCAATCTAATTATAAATGAAATAAAAAACAACACTATCAACACCCCCTGGTACAACCGAGGGTGTGGGGAGTTAGTTCTCCCTCTCCAAATGCTCTCACATGGACACGCGTATACAGCCATTGTCAGGGAAGTCCTACTCACTGACTTCTCGCAACAACGGTGCTGTTTACCTAAATGACACGACGAAAAGCGGATGCCCGGCCCTTTAGCCCAGTTAGTCAGTCAGTAACAACGTAGAACTTAGTACGTACGTACATCAGTTCGAGTTGCCATACCACATTAGCACAGAGATGCAGTGGTCGATTCAAATCCCGTAGTGGTAGAGGTAGCAAGAGTATAAGCAGTAATCGGGAAGATTAGGGTTTGGAGATGTTATTTAACGAGTATAATCCAGTGAAATAAATTTGGAAAGAGGAAAAAAAGGGGCATGAAGAATTCAGATAATTAGAATTTGGGAGAACATAGAGAGTGGATGCACCTGCGCCATTGCAAACGATTTTGAGCCATGTCAATCAGGGTCTCTAACCATCGGTTGCTATCATCTCGCGGTCCCCAACCAGGTAGTCTACACCTACCAACATGACTCAGTCCACTTGTCAGTGACTTCATGGATTTGTGCCATGTTTTGGTCTGGCCGCCCCTAGCTTTCTTCCAACCTACTCCTATACCACTGAATATAGCACGTCGTTAGCCCAGTTAGTGGACACAGAGGGCTCACCTAGGGGAGTTAAAAAAACCCACAATTCCAAACCAATTTTGCACATAGGCTTCAGGTTCCTAAGAAAAGTAATGGCGTATGAACCAATCGTTAGTCACAGGCTACCATGAGACCGCATCTCCTTACATTGCTCCACTGCTTTGTAGATTAGACACTTAGGTCAAAGGCTCGGAAAGTGGCCTTCTAAGAGAACCATCTGCTTTAGTTTGGGGAACCCGGACAGTATTATAGGCCACGCACAAATCAAGTGACTTGTGAGGTGCATATGTATTCAGTGACCCTTTGTACCAATATTTATATGTTGAAATAAATAAATAATACTATCTACTACAGTGTATGTGTATACCACATATATTGAGATATTTTTAAAGCAAAATCAAATAACACGTGAATGTCTATTTGAATACAATGATTATAATTGAAACAAACCGTCTATGATGGAAATAATACAGTTTTTTTTACATACTAAAAAATAACAGCCCCTTACATAAGACTGAATTATCGAAAACCAAATTATCGTAGGAATGTAATTTCAATTATCGATTGTTTTGTTCGAATGCTTATTACTACATTCCATATGATATTGAAAGTGATTGGTTTCAACACTGTGATTATTGAGGAGTTTTTTTATATTCAGCAATAAGTCACAGTCAATGTAAGATCTGAAATGAATGTGTATTGGTTGAAATTTGTACACTTCAAATCAGCACAGAAAACACGGAAGTTAGAAAAATAAGAAGCAAGAAAGAGGAATTAATTTTAACACCAGGAATTTAAACATAAGAAATACATATTTCAGCAAAATTACGTAGCAATTAACAATGGAATATAAGACGACGGTTTCGTCCTATTTAGAACTTGTCAGCAATGAATTTTATAAACTTCGAATAGCTCACACTAACAATCAATAACTTTATGTATTGATTGATACAGTAGTAATTTAATAATTGAATTCATGAGTCAATAGAAGCTAGACCATCATGGGAAACCTCGAAGCATTGGACAACCGTTTCATCATCCTAGTAAGGGACTCCTCAGCAATGCGCATCCATGATCCCGCCCCGCGAGATTCGAATCCAGGACCTATCAGTCTCGCATACGAATGCTTAACCTCTAGACAACTAAACTGACATCCAATAGTGTTTATGTCTAACTTCAATCAATTCACAATACAGTAGTATTGATCATTCAAAGATCATTTTTATCATAATACATGCATTATTTTGTGATAACTGAAGTTACTTATATTCTTTTTCTTTCACATACACACTATCATTTCATGCCTCATTTCAATAAACTATATCAGAATGGGTTTTGTGGAGAATTTTAGAAATTTCACAGGTTGTAATCATGAGTCAGTTGAAGCTAGACCACCATTGAAAACCTAGAAGCACTGGACGGCCGTTTCGTGGTACAGG